CCCCGGCGCTCTCTACCCGCCGCCGCCGCCGCCGCCGCCCTTCCTACCCGATTGCCGACCAGTGAGCCAAGTCCCCGGCCGACTCCCACCCCCTCGTCGGCTCGGCCCCGGGGGCCGCGCGCGCCGCCGTGGCGCAGTCTCGCGTGCACGTGACTGTTCCCCACACTGGGAGACCCTTGACGGCGGCTGCCCTGCTAGAATGAACGGATCCCAGATGGCCCTGGACGGCAGGCTCTGCCGGGAGCCCACACGCCACTGGGTGGGGCTGTCTCACACCACCTCCCCGGGGACACCCGGACACCTGCCCGGGACAGGTTCCTTTGGCCCTGGTGCATGCCTGGTACTTCATCACAAAACCCCGTAGCGATGTTGAACACTTCCTCCTCCCGGCAATGTTCTCACCCTGAAGTAGTGAGCGTTGTGTCTTTACAAGTCGCCCTGGCCTGCCCCATTTGTTAGGAAATGGAAAGACTTGGAAAAAATTATATTAAGTGAAGTAAGCCAGGCCCAAAGAAACTTAGGTCCCATGGTTTCCCTTATTTGCAATAACTAGTATGTTTAGGACAAGCAAAAGAGGTAAAAAGCTATGTACATATGACCATATAAGATGATACTAAGTGAAATGAACCCCAATAGGGGTTCTTGCTATGGTTTTCAAGGTATTTATAATGTACTATGTGGGTTTATTTTGTTGTTCCTTTGTATGTTCTTCCCCCTATGGTATAGCCCCTGTATTTGATTCTGGTGTCCTGCATCTTGTATATACGTTTTTCTAATTTGGGAAGGGGAAGGGAAATAAAATGCTGAAATAAGGATATAGGTTGATCCATTGTAACAATGAGATGTACAAGACACTATGTTGAAAACGAATTACAACTTGGGGGAGGAGGAGTTGGGGAGGTGGGGAAGGAAGGGATGGTAGGAAAAACAAAGGAGGAGGTAACAATGCTCAATAGGAAATGCACTCATTACTCATGTAACTGAAACTCCTCTGTACAGTATCTTTACAGTAAAAAACATCTTTTAAAAGTCTGCAGGACAGATTTCAGGAGCAGTCACTAACAATCTGCCCTTAGGCCCTTGGGCCTCCAGCATCATCTCAAACATCCCGTTTCAGACATCTGTCTGCGGATGCTCCGAGTCTCCCCCACCCCAGGGGAGGGGACAGAAGGGAAGTCCCCCCACCCCCCACTCTAGCCTGGACAAAGACACTAGAGAGAAAGAGTGTGAAACCTGGAGGCAGAGGCTAGAGAGATGAGTGGCCTTGGAGCCAAACTTACCAAACTCAGGACGTCTTACTAATGGAATTTTGGACGCTAGGTAGTTGACCTGGTTGTTGACTTGGCCTCATTTGACATCTGACAAATTACATTTGGCTACTTTTGGTTGGTTGTACATCCCCTCAAGACGCACTACCTTGCAAGGCCATTTCTATAAGATTAGAAAGAAGAACGGGCGCAGGGTGTCCTGGTTACTCCAGGAAACCTAAGCTGGGTGACCGGCATCTCCAAGACTCAAGCGAACATTATTTTTTGAGCCAGGGTCTCACTTTGCAGCCCAGGCTGGCCTCAATCTGACAGTGCTCCTTGCCCCCCCCCCCCCAAGGCTGGAGTTACAGCACAAACCAACACCTCCAGCTTGAATCTCTGACTAAAACAGAACTCACTGGCTAAAGTAAGATGTGGTGGCACTAACTCCAAATATTCATAAAAGCCGTTTTTAGAGAAGAAAACTTAAACTTAGCACTTTCTTCCTCTTGGTTTCAGGGGGGGCAGGATGGGAGGAGCAAGCTTTATCGGGGCACGATTGTCACACAGTAAGCTGTCTGTTTACACTGTGTGATGTGTCACCGAGCCACATGTTTTATTCCAATGCCCGGCTTTGAATTCAGGGCTGCAGGCTCACACTGGGCAGGCAGGCCCACAATCAAGCCATGTCCCCAGCCCAAGATGCATAGACGAAAACATACACAGCAGTTTGTTGTCATGTGTATCTTCAACATGTATATGCCATCACCCAAACAACGTGGTACACATTTCCTTCTCCGTAAGAGTCATCGTGCAGATGTTTAATTCCCTCACCACGCTCTCTCTCCCCTGCATTGCTCCAACAGCCACCTCTCTGCTTTCTTTCACTATAGATTAGTTTTAAAATATTCACATTGGCTAAACACTTAAAATGATGTATTCTACATGTATTGAAGATCTCAGTGGGTTTTTTCCTTGATTAGTTTTTTGGTAGACGTGTGTGTGTGTGTGTGTGTGTGTGCATGCACACACACACACACACACACACACACACACACACACAGCCAGCCAGCCAGCCAGTCCTAGGGCTTGAATTCAGGGCCTGGGCACTGTCCTCAAGGTTCTTTTGCTCAATGCTAGTGTTCTACCACTTGAGCCACAGCTCCACTTCCAGCTTTTCCTTTCTCTTTTTTCTTTTTTGGTAGTTTAATGAAGATAAGAGTCTCACAGGCTTTCCTGCCCAAACTGGCTTCGAACTGTGATCCTCAGATCTCAGCCTCCTGAGTCGCTAGGATTATAGATGTGAGCCACCGGTGCCCAGCTACTTTGTAGAATAGTCTACAAAGTTTCCCTCTTAGCACCTTATATTAAGAGACTAGTTTTGTAACGATTGAGGAACACCCATTACCTATGCAGATACTCAGTTTTTGCTTAATGTCTATTTTCCTCTCTGGTATTCCAGCCAAGACACCATATTTTATTGTGATCTACTTAGTTAGTTGTTGGTGGGGATAATTTCTCAGACTTGTATTTCACAACTTTGTCTTTTATGACCTTGACAGAGCTGAGAAGTATTGTAGGCTGCCACTCCATGAGTTGAATGCTTTGTTGGTTTGGGGGAG